CGTGTGGGAAAGCGAGTTGCCTCGGTAACAATGCTCCCCCAAAGCTGTTCTTACTGCTGCAAAAGAAATGGGGATGTGTACTGTAGTTCATCCCCAAAACACAAAGCATGCAGATCTGGAGCCAGAAATAAAATACAGCTGAGTGAAATCTTTGTGATCTCATGTGGCACCCTTAAAACTAGGACAGCACTTAGGTCACATGTTTAGGTCAGTCACCCTTCACTGGGGGATTCTCTAATGCATCCTGTCAACTGCTGTGCAGCCACAGAATCGCAGGGAACACAAAGGCATGTCTGCGCCCGCTCATGATGCTTCCTGACTGCTCTTCTCAGTTGAAATTTTTCAGCTGGGTATTTGCTGTATTTGTCCGTTAAGCTGAAAAGCTCTGATATAAAAGGTCTGTTTTGCTCTCTCCCAGTGCGAGTGACATTGAGAGATCCTTCACTGCTGCATGAATGAGAGATGTTATTATTCTGACTCTGCCGTTGTCAAACAGACTTGCATACGGTCACACACGCGTGCGCACACTCTAACTCTATCCGTCAGCATCCACCATCTCTGCCCCCACAGATGTTACCCAGTATTTAGGTCAGTTTGTTTGCAGATGGGTGGTCAGCAACGCTCGTATTAGCTTGGGTTTCCAGGAACTGATACAATAGGCCAGTCAGTTCTCCGCGGCCACCCCGCGAGAGGCCGGAAGTACAGCTCTTTATAATCATAACGGACAGTGTTCACTTACGGATACCAAACAGCATTAAGAGCAGGCTAATGACTGTAGCTACATGATTTAGACTGCTGTGAAAATCCAATGTACTCAAGAAAGCTTGTACTTAGGCTTTGGAAATAAGACTGATCATATGACTATGTACTACTTACAGCATGTTATTACTACTTTATTTTAGTATGACTGTCGCTTGGCAATTTAAGATTATTGAATGTCAACTCAGTGACACAGTATAGACAAAAACTGTATTATACTAATGTCAACATCATGCATATTGTATATATTTAATTCAATAGTTTCCAGTTTTTTATTTAATATTGTTATTTGTATTTAGTGTAACTTTCATTCAATGTACTTGGTTTTGTTCAATATTCTCACATTTTCATCAATATTCTCAGGGTTTTGTTTAATTAGTTATGCTTTTTGTTCAACATTGATTCAATATTCATAGGTTTTAGTTCAATATTGTGTCATTCTCATTAATGTTCTGAAAATTGTTGGGTTTTCATCTGGTATTAAATATTCCCCAGTTTCTATTCAAAAGTTATAGGTTATCATTTAATACTCATTTAATACTTTATTTTCAGTCAGAAATGTCATGTAATATGTAATGTGACAAAATTACTTTTAAAATTCAAAGACTTTGATTTACTTCTTGGGCTTTGCCAGACATACCTGAGTTTCTCGTCCTTCACCTACCTGTCAGTCAGCCAATGCCAGGACACAAATCCTTGATGTAGCTCAAAAACAGGTTGAAAATAAAGTTTTCTAAACACAATCAATGCATGAAGAAAGGAAAGGCCATTACTCTAAAGTACAAATGTGTGTATGTGTTTGACGGGGTGACTTTTTTGTAGTTTGTGTTAAACATCAAGAGCAGTTTGAGTGAAAGGGGGGAAATGAGAGAGACAGAAGGAACCAAAGCTTCAAGGCATAATACTGTAATTGGAAAATTGTGCAAATGCGTTTTGGAGTCATGTTATATAAATGGCCAGCAGAGATAATGCCTGAGATTCAAGGCATGGCCTAATTGAGAGTAGGAGATGGAGGAGGAGAGGGGTGGTGATGCTGAGGGGGAGAATGAAGTGTGGGTTTTAAATTGGGTGAAGGAAATGTGGATGGAAATGGGATGTTTTCAGAGATGAGGGAGGGAGGGAGGCAGAGAGAGAGAGCTGTTTCTCTTTAAAGGGGAGGAGAAAAAGAAAGGAAATAATTCCCACTTTCTTTCTTGGTCTCCACACCTGTGACCCAGCAGCCAGCCGCCCCAGCTATTTCTCCCATAAGTGTGTGTGTGTGGTTTTTTTGTATGTAAGTCTCTTAGGTTCTGGCACTCTCTGTATGATTGATGAGTCTCGGTCAGACCTGGATCCCTGCCATGGCCCAGGCCTGATCAGGCATGTTCTGGTCATAACAATGCCATCAATATGTGGCTGACGGCTGTGCGTGTGTGTGCATGTGTGTAATGATACATAAAAATGAAGTATGCCATAACATAAGAGAAGATTCTTTGGTGAAATTCCCATTTCCTGCCCCACTGAGGGATTAAAGAGGAACGTTGTTTAGATATAGTTTCCCACATTGATTGGAATTTGAATCACATTAATTAGCCCTTTCATGAACGATCCATATGTTACTGTTTGACTAATGAACTCTCCTTTCATGGTTTTTCTTCTCCCAGTTTCCATTTCTTAGTGCCGTCTCAGGTTTCCTCTGTAGCTCTAAGATTGACCAAAAATCTGCTTGATATTTGATGAGCAGCATTTGATGAAAGGCATTAGTGGGCCTGCATTATTTATGAATGGCGAGTGATGCATTAACTCATTAAATATGTATATGTACATTACATGAGAACGAACATGTCCCATAGCATGTCATATTGATTCTGGTGTGAGTTACGAGTCTCCTGCACGATCCATATGAAAAAACATTAGGAGATGGCACACCAAATCGCTTTAAGAGGTATATTGACGGACTCTCCCTCCGGATGCACGGTCACAGTTGAGAACTTTGAACTTGCTTGCTTGCTTGCTTCAACGAATCAAGTGTAGTGTCTGCACATGCAGCAGATTTTGTGTGGGAGCAGAGTGTGTGAAATAACGTGAGGGGAAACTAAGATGCGGTGCCAACTTACACTGTTAAAGGAATCGTACCAGTGTTATTGAATTCTTTCCCTCATCTGGTTAGCTATCACTTTACATCTCCTGCTGACAACTTTATTTTCCATCCATGGCTCCCTTACAAGCTCTACTGGCCTCGTGGCCTTGTCAGAACTGAAAATGACTTGCCTTGCAGGCAGTGATGTAGTAGCAAACAAAATGATAAGTAAACTATGCTAATGCAAACCGGTTGGTGATCATCTGAGGCCAACAAGCACCAGTGCAATCTAAAATGAATTACTCAGCTCAAAAAGAGCATTAATAAATGCTTCCTCACCTTAAAAGACACAGTGCTCATTTAGTTTCCTTCAGTTTGAACGTAATTACTATGGCGGGCCCACGCTATGAATTTATATTATGCAATTTTTGTCAGCCTAAGAATAAAGTTCAACAGCATTTCACAAATAAAAACCCAAGTTTGCTCTGCTTGTAGGTCTCAATGCCTCAAAAGTGACTCTGATAATCTCCAGTGATTTAATTATTTTCCACATAATACAAACTGTTTAAAAACTGAACTGGAAAAAACAGCTTCCTTGGAAGTTCAATTCACAATTAGTATTCATGGACATGGATAAAAATGAGTGTATGTTAAATTGTTCCCCAGCCACCTCAAACTGCTGGCAGCTGTTGCTTTCCCAGGTGACTTGTTTCATCTATAAAGACATGTGAGCCATCATGTTACACAATATAAGAAAACAATGTGGGGAATTACACATGCTTGCATCAAGCTGAAACTCATGAGGGTGTTTTAGCTGCAGTTTTAAAATGTACTGGTGTTTAAATATGCAAATGAAGTGGAGTTTAAGTGTGCAAATGCTAAAATACTGACATGCAAATGGACACAAATTTATTAAATTAAAAAGACAACCCTTGATAACCGTTATAAGCTGCTGAAGTATTCTAATGATGCAGCAATAAATTGTATGTATACGTAACATATCTAATGTTAAAAATGTCCTCAACTGTTGAATCCATTGGACAACTGAATATCAACGTAATATATGATTTAATTAGGATCTAAAGGGTGCATTTTCCAAAAAATGAAGTGAGTAAAATGCTGCAGTGCATTCAGCAACAGTAATATTTCCTTATTTTTGTGATGTTGACTGTTGTAGAACAACAGAAGAACCCTGTGGCAAATGCGCACACACACACACACACACACACACACACACACACACACACACACACACACACACACACACACACACACACACACACACACACACACACACACACACACACACACACACACACACACACACACACACACACACACACACAGAGGGAGGGAGAAAAACATGCAGTCACACAGTAGCTCAGTGGGGGGAAGGTTTTAATAAACCCACAGTAACGTGGATCTATGGGGGCGTCTCGGGACCGAGCCAGGAAACCAGATGAACGTACCTGCCCTGGGGCACAGAGAGAAACAGTGAGGGTGGGGGTGGGAGTGAGGGGTGGGGAGGGTGGGGGCAGAGCCAGTGAAGCCACAGGCACATTATGTCTCTCATTGCCCTGACTTTTTCTCTCTCCTGCCATCAGTCTCTTCACTCGCCCACTCTGTCTCTGCTCACATCATCAGCCACACGAAAGCCATGCCCACAAACACTGATGTGTTTGTCAGAGAAAATGCCCAATCACTTTAATAACATTTCATGCCATCTCTGCTTTCACTGAGGACTTGGAGTTTGTTCCTCAGTCGGCTAAACGCAGACTGTAATTTCAGACAAACGCAATGGAAATGCAGAGTGCAGCCAATCAGATTTAATCATGTATGAAGAAATATAATTTTGGAGGACACCAGGGCAGAGCGGGTTGATGCGGGTATTAGTTACTATGCAAAAAGGCGTGTCCATACTCCCCGAATATGAATTTATGAAGCCTGCTTGTGATTTCAATCTGACTAATGTATCAGAACAAACCCATCTGTGCAGCACTGACCCCTGAGGTGAAGGTTTGGGGGGGCTTAGAGGGAAGTGCTGTGAGCGTGGGCGGCTGGTTTATGCTCCCACCATGAACCAAGGTGGTCAGTGAGATGGGGAATGAAGTCTTTTACCCTCATTTGTAAAGCTTTAAAGGAAAAACAAAGAAAGAAGAAATAAAAGAACATCTCTCCAGAACAAGTTCCATGGGAAAAATTTTATTTATCAATATGCGGTAGTTTCCAAACTGGTGGAACGTTATTTCCATTGTAGCTGGTGCCAATAGGTTACGCTGAGAAGCGGCAAAAAAGTGAATGGCAAAAAAAAAAATGAAATAAAATAACAAAACTTGACAGTTATGATTCAAACAAAGGGAAACAAATTCAACAGGTTTTGCTTACACATGCACATTGAAAAATAATACTGTGGCTTTGAACAATAGCAGAAATCAACCTACAGTGAGGCTCATACCATGGGCAACCAACATCTCTGTGCTAAATTAGGAAAGGAGGGAGAGAGCAACTTTAAAACAAAGGACCGCCTGGGAGATAATGAGTGGTGTAAACCGGATGATTTATTGGTGAGCGCAGTACGGTCACACTCTCATACATAGCCCCTTTTCTCCTTTTTCTCCCCCTCTCTCTCTGTCTGGCCCAATAGACTAAAACTGAGATTAATCTTTCTGGACCAAAATGTTTGTGTTACATCTTATAATGGAGTGGAAGGTGTAGGTAACTTATAGGCAGTGGAATAACACAGTCTTCATATGCAGAGTTAAGTGCTGTCTCCAACAGGGAAAGGAACCTTATCATTCATAGTTTCAATGACCTATCCATTTCAAAGCCACTCGATGACAAAGCTTCAGTCCTGAACAGTTTCTGAGCAACTAGAATCCTGTTGAATGACAATGTAAAAACTCTGAACCCCATTTTTTTTAAACACATGTGGTAACAAAGACTTTTTGACAATACTGGACGCTGCAAAAAAGACAGCTCATGTGTCCGTTGCAATATTCAGTTTAACTCTAAAAGAAAAAAAAAACATATTGCAAACAGAGACAAAAATGCAAGGATTCATACAAAACACACTTTAAAAAGACAGCTATTTACAAACATCCTCCATTACAAAAATCTAATCTTAAATTTTTCTTATGAGCAGTGTTCAGGTGAAATTACATCTTAAATTGGGCTCTATCCATATATTTACATTTCTCTCTCTTTTTAATCTTTTTTTTTTCTCCCCCAAAATTTGAATAACATTAAGTGGTCACTAGAATGAATAAAAATGAGATATGGTTTGTGGTAATTTGGTAATGAGTCCCTTGGCTGGTGTAGGTGAATGGATGCGCACCGATCCGAAACAAAAATATTTGATCTAGATGTGTTTCACAGAGGGCCACTGAGGGCTGCATGCTGAGTTAAAACACAGGACCACAAAAGCACGAGCAGCTGTTTAGGTTGTTAACTCAGAGGTTAACGACACGCAAAAGCCACTGGAGTCTTCCCCGAGTCTTCAAGCTGGGCTGCCTTTTAACTCAGCAGTGTATATCCGTGGATGGCAATAGTATGTGGCAGCGGATGATGGGTGTCTCTGCCGGTGAATAAACATTAACTGGCAGTCTGACCGTTTGACTGGAGATAAACCTGGACCCGTCAGTCTCGGTGTGTCTGCGTGTATGTGTGCACATGTGCCTCAAACGTCAGCTCGTGTCTGCGTGCTGAGGAATAGCTGTCCTTATCTGCTCCCTTCTCCTCTCACACATCATTAACTGGGACTGCGGCGCTCCATACTTTGGCAGCCACACTGTTTGGAGCACCTAGTTCCAGACCCAAAACAAGTCTGTTCAGCAGCTAGACCACAGAAGCATTCACAAACACACATACATATGCAGGGAAAACTGCAAATATAAGCACAAATGAGCACTTACACACAAGCACCTACATGTGCACACAGACCGATTCTAACACCTCCCCCTCCCCCAGCACCACCTAAAAGTGAGCATCGGCGTGCACACGTGCACACATCCAGCTGCAGTAAATCCTGTCTCGGTGCCGCTGCCCTGGGCTGTGTGATAGCTGAGCTGCAGTGTCCTCGCTGGCTGAACACCTTGACTGTGGAATATTCTGCACAGCATTTTTATTCACAGCACAACTGGTGAGAGGATGGAAAAATTAATGCTAAACTACCTCCACCCCCCACCTCACCCATCACCCCCCCTGTCATCCCCATCCACACCGCCATCTTCCTCTCAGGTTAAAGCCAAGTCACAGGAACATTTTCTCCTTTATCCGCCGCTCTCGCTCTCTCTCCTCCCCGGCTGGTGAGTGTGGGCACGGAGATGGCACATAGATTAGTCACACGCTGGCGACGCCACTGACTGCGCACTCCACTGACTCATCTACAGATGGCAGCCAATTGGCATCTGACAATACTGTATCCCAATGTTCAGCCGTAGTTCGCCATCCAACTTATATATAGGGCGTCCTACCTATGTAGGCCAGCCAATCAGTGCCAACCATCCAATCTACGCCCACCATGCCCAGGCAGCAGGCATCAAACTAACTGTTTGATGCTTACACTGTAGCACCAGAAGCTTGAGCAAACAAATATCAACCTGCCTGCTGTCTTAAAAACCATCTCCCCGAAAGCTAATCAGACACATAAAACCTTCAATTCGTGCCAACTGGAGCACTAGAAGGGTTTTGTAAGATCTTGGGCATGTCTGTCTGTCGGCGCGTCAGTCTGTCTGTCTTGTTTTTGAAGCTTACGATACAGTAACTTAGTGTTCTACCCCCTAATCCAATAAGCCTGCCCAGATACAAGACTGGTCTGGACATGCCCAAACACATACATACAAGTACACACACACACACACATTCACAGAGGATACACCCTAAAATGCACACAAGTAGGTCATAAATACCAGAGTAATGGTAAAGCTCATATCAGACCAGCGGAGAAGGGAGTATTCTCAGAAACACACATACACACACATACACACACACACACACACACCTCGATATCAACAGTCCAGGTCAATGTACTTTCTCAAGGAAAAAAATGAGCGCAATGAATGACATGGTTGGTGACAACATGGAGTGATAATGATGATCTATTCAACTCTATACATTGTGCACTTGTAGGAAAAGTCTAACAAAATACAACTGCTTTGTGAACTGAATCAGGGTTCGAGGAAATCCTCCATCAAAAATAGTTAAGTAAGGCAAACATCAGAGGTGCGTAGGGAGAGGAACACATTATTTCACACACTGTGTCTGATACCTGAGCTATCTGGAGAGTTTCCTGGCCCAGTAAGGAGCCCTGACTAACACACACGCACACATGCACGCAGAGACACACACACGTTTTATGCTTCTTGCACACCAACTGCAGGCTGAGTGGCGTCCGGGGCCTGTGTCTGCCTGTTCCTTGCTAGTGTGCTAGGATGGTGTGTTTAATTGGGTGTAGCACAGACTATACTTCAGGGAACTGAGATAAGTTATATCCTGTCCGTTAAAGGGGACAGCAAACCAGGATACTAGAGTCCCATCTGTTGGTCGCTCCAGCCCCGCCCCCTGTCGGAGCAGGGAGATGCAGAAGGTGGCAGGTGAGGTGAGGGGAAGGGGGAGGGGTGGAGGGTACAGAATAAACCTCTCTCATCGGTTAGCTCATAACTCCACTGGTTACTGGTCAGTGCGTGTCTCTCCAGATTTGTGCAGCAGGTGGTAGAAATAACACGGGCTTGAAGAAGCATCAAGTCCCCAAAATGCAAAGGAAAGTGTTCTTCCCAAGAACATAAATCAAGCGCTCCTCTCTTCTCTCTCCTGACTCTGTCGCTGGCTGTGCGGAGCGTGTCAGACTTTGTAGTAGATGTTGGCAGGGCTCTGCGGAGGCATCTCCTGGACAATGTAGACGGGATGGCCATAGTCGCCGCTCACCTTCTCATAGTGAGGGCAGTAGTTGTTCTCTGTCCGCAGCGGAATGATGATGTCACTGGGCTCCGTGCCAGCCGTGCCCCCAGGCAGCTTGGGATTGGACAGCGTGCTAAGTGACAGTCCTGAGGGGCGGGGCTGCGAGTGGGTGTTTTTCCTGGCGCGCTTGCGCATCTTGATAAGCAGGATGACGAGGAGGAGAATGAGCAAGAGGAAGATGATGCAGCCGGCCCCGATGGCGGAGAACACGGCTACTTTGGAGCCGAGGATCCCGTCTGAGTTGCCCGAGGAACCAGACTGGTCCTGATTCATGTGGTCTAAAGAGAGAATAAAATAATAGAGGGTTTAGGGACTGTACATACAAACCAAATTATTAGGGACGGAGGTGGGGTCAGAGAAAGGGTAGGGTAATAATGTACTTTTATTCTTGCTGAAGGGAGGGAGGTCAAACGCTTTTTGAAGAGCAAGGGAGAGTATTTTTTTTAACCCCATATTTATGAGATTTATAATATAGGTATGTCAAAAATATGGTTTGTGCTCCATAAAAGTGAATTTCAGCATGCAGGAAGGATATGGTGTGGGGTGAAAATACACAAGCCCTCTTGCACAGAGTTGTTTCCTGTTCCCGGTTTACTCATTTAGTGGCTATAGTATATTTAGCTGCTCTTTGTTAAAAAATAGAGAGTGACTGTCTTTTCACCATTTTGCTAAATTTGCAATGTTATATTATTTTGAGACATTCGTGGGAGTGTATTACAGTTTTCTTTCTAACAGAAGAGGAGGGTCCAAAGAAAACATATAATAACACTGATCTGGCACCTCTCCACACCAAAGTTCATTAGAGACTGGTACGCAATCACAGGAGTAAAACCATTTACAGTAAGCCAGTCCTGTCATGTGCAGTTTTGACTTTTCTGCGCCTAAATTAACTGTGATCACATCCCCGTTTGTTGTTTGCTCCACATGACTAACAGCCCATTGATGTAATCTAATTAAATTAACTCAATAAAAATAGCCTCCTAATGGAATCTGTAGTCATCACTCAACATTACAGAGATTCCTGCTCTGATAAGATTGATCCCAGGCAACTTGTATGACATGTCAAGGCCACATTTGTATGGCAAAGGCCAAGTGAGATATGAAAAAAAACAGGAGGGCATATCTGAACATCTGATTTTATTTTATCCTTTTGTCTAACGGGTTCAGAATGGGGGGAGGACGAGGGAGGGGGGTTGTTACTGGATGAGAGAGAAAATGACTGGCTCCTCAAGTGACTGAAATCTGAGAAGAACCAAATCTGTTTTCCATGTATGCATGCAGCTGCTGCCAAAGAGCAGTACTCACCTCCTCCCACCACCACCACCACCTCTTTACTGTCCATGACCCCCCTGCAGGCACACAAAAGCCTCATACCTCCGGAGACTGCCATCCCAACTAATGACTGTGTCTCCGCACTCGGCTGACCACTGTGCACTTAACCATTTACTGAGGAGGGGATAACTGCGCCTTACGCCTTATCACAACTAAATGACATCACTGAAAGCTACCGATTCCAGCATTATCGGTGAAATCCGAGGCGTAAGGAATTTCGTACATTCTGGGCAACGGAGAGAGGCTGTCAGAAATTTCATTCCTGAAATATCAGCCCCTCAAACTGCAGTGACACGTCCTTCATTCCACCCTCCACTTCTTCACTTGACATAATCACTGATCTAACAATGGTAGACAGGTAAAAGCCCGGGTATAGGGAAAAGTGACATTAGAAAATCTTTTTATAGAGCAACTAATGTCAAATAAGCAATTATTAAATGAGTACGGCTTATCACATTGGGACAGGCAGAACAGTCTGTACTTGGAGGAAGTTTATGGCATACAAAGTTGTGGAGTAAGTCAAAAAGTTGAGAAGTGGTCCCTCCTGTGCGAAGCGTCTATGAGAGGTGCTGGTGAAAAAAGGAATACAAGGAGGGCCCAGAGCATCCAAGGAGGCTCGAGTGACTTCTTCAATTATCTCTCCTTTTAATCTTAATTTATTTGCAATTCTAATGAGTTTTTAAAAAGATATATAATAAAAAAGTCTGTCTTTGAGTCTCCTTGGTTGTAGCACAACCTTTATGTACAGTATGAATAAGTAAAGTGACTCATGGTGAGCTTTATTTGTTTAGGGTGGAGTTTATTGTTTTATTACAAGCTGCATTTTGGAGAGTATTATTTTATTCTGTACAACATTAGTTTTACACCTATTTTAGCATGTTGACCTGCCAGAAATCAAAGGAATGCCCGGGGCATGAAAAAGCCATATGAAAGAATACTTAACTTAGGGAGACTCAACTATGATTTTTATTTTTTCTTTCCAGGCTAATTGTGATTAATTATTAGAGGAACCCTTGAGGCTGTGAATATTAATTTTTTACATTTCAAAAACCATTATTTTACTAAAATATTTGCACTCTAGAAACTAGAAAGCGCCCTGTGAAGAGTGAAGCTGCAGTTTATGGGTATAATGTTGATCTGTCAATCTGCTCACCAGAGTTTCCTGGCATCTCGGGTCTAATCCGACCCTGGTCAGGCGGACTGGGACTGGACTCCGGTATGGCATTGTCTTCTGGAGCCTCCGGCGCCACGGGGTTCACTGCATTTGGGACTGTGGGAAACAAAAACACAGAAAAACTCAGCCTTGGCAAGCTGCATGCGCTGAATTACAATGACTTATTCCTCTTCATCGGCAAGGATTATTTTTTATTATCTTTTGATATGTCTTTTATACAGGGAGAAGGTTATCTTTGCATGTGTTGAAAGAGTCTCAGAAGTGAAGATAAAAGCACAGAAAGAGGAAGGACAAGTTAGCGAACGTCTGTGAAACACGCCAGTATCCCTGTCCTGTTGTAAAATATGAGCTCACAGCTACATCAGCAGCTCCTTCAGCAAACACTCAGACAGGCATTTCCAACGCTGACACATTCATGAGAGTGTAGGACATACGTACACACACCCACCCACCCACCCACCCACCCACCCCACACACACACACACACACACACACACACACACACACACACACACACACACACACACACACACACACACACACACACACACACACACACACACACACACACACACACACACACACACACACACACACACATATAAGACCACACCTAGGATATTCTTACAATACACTTAGGCATGGCAGAATGAGGGTAAAGTAGTTATATATTAACTTTTTATTGTTTTACATTATTCATCACGTTAAAAGGCCATAATATGCCTTATTTATTGCTCTGGCTTTAACTCTGCCTGAAAGAGGCACACTTCTGAAGAATAGGAGGACAGGAAGAGAAGGGGGAGACAAGGAGAAGAGGAGAGGAGGGGGTTGCACAAGCTCTGAAGGGAACGCAAAGGAAACAGACAGTTTATCTGTCTGTCTGTTGTGATTTCAGCACACACGCTTTGAAGTCTTTGTGCGGTAAACACTGGTGGGTCCGCAGCGCAGCTTTTACGAGGGCAGGGCCGGCAGACAGAAGACAGTTATACACTATTACCGAAGTCGGTCCAGTGGATTCCACAGTGGACTATCAGAGGCATCTCCTCCATCAGGCCTTATCTGCATGTGCCCAAAGGCCTGCTCAAGGGGTGTGTGTGAGAAATAGAGAGGAGGGTGTGTGAGGAGGCAATTTACATTTCAGTCCCTTGTGGCAAGTTTGTGTGGCATGTGTGTGGCTGTGTGTGTGTGTGTGTGTGTGTGTGTGTGTGTGTGTGTGTGTGTGAGTGAAAAGGGCCTAACAGTCTAGCAGGCTATTTTTTTTATGGCCGAGACTTAGGCAGGGAAATTATTTGGGTGTCTGGAAGATATGAACTACGAAAAGAGGAAAAGACAAAGAGGGACATAAGTTCATTGGAAAAAATAAAATCTGGGGGGGAGGGGCGGCATTTGGCGAATATCACCACACTATTAATAAATTGATCTCCTCTATCTTTTCTATGTCCAGACCACCGCATTGCTCCATACTGATTGCAGAAGTGGTAAACCTAGCCATGAGCTGTTGTGCACCGTCAATAATTGATGAGAAAAGACAGGAGTGAGAAGTGGGAACATTCAAGAATGGCAGAGGCTGTGAGAGGACACAGTGATCTGATTCACTTCGTGCATATAGCCCCAACACTGTGTGTCACTGAGCATGTGCAGGGAGCGTTCTAATGTTCTGACCCATTTTTCTGTGTGTACTGCTGACATTTCCCTTAGCTATGCAGACAGCAACTACCTCAGAACTGCCAGCCCGCCAGAAGGAGGGAGAAGGCGGGGGGAAAGAGGAGGAGTGAGAGTAAGGGAGACAATGATCGAGCGACAGAAGGGAGAGACGGATATGTTGGGAGAGGTAGAGGGAGAGAAACAGAGCGGGGGGGAGAGATGCGTGTGAGGCGGTGAGTCAACATATTTCTAATGAGCACAGTGACATGATGGTGGTGGAGGAGAACAGCGATGGATGTATAAAATATGGGCTCCCCGTATTTCCCCTTCAATCAATTTCGCTTCCTTTCTACTTTACATTTTATATAAACACAAAAGACGGAACTCAAGACATTTAAAGTACAATTAGATATTGACGTGTCAGGGAGCATAATTTCCCACAAACAGATGATTCAACGTGATTATTTCCTGGGTGTGTCGCCACAAGAGAATGTAACGGTAAAAGAATGTGCACATATCACAAACTGGGATGAGTCACCAAAATATAATCCACAGAGCAAAGTGCAAAGGAGTACGAGTGGACATATGGGAAGATCTTGGGGACTTGGCCACAGGAAGCGTTGGCATTCAGCTGCAGAGAAAATGTGGCTTAAACACAATAGCATCTGGGGTCAGAGCCAAGCAGAGCCCAGGTTTTTTTTTGTTTGTTGAAACAACATCTAGTGTGGCTGCAGAAGGTAGATTCTAGGGCTGCAAACAATCATGGTTTTCATTATTTATTCATCTTTTGGGGTTTTTTTTTTATTTAGCCAATAAAATGTTTACATTTTTCAATAAAACCAAAGAAAACAGCAACTGTCATGTTTCAGAAGCTAGAAGCAGAAAATGTTTTGAGTTTTCTGCTTGATAAATAACTTATAACAATAACAATCAGCGTATCCGTTCAGGACTAGTGGAGTCAAAAGTATCGCTTTTTAAATGCAGCCGATTGTATTGCTTTTATAGTAACTACAGCTGAAATGATTAGTTGATTAATGAATTGATGTCATTGTCATATTTAGTATGATGGTAAAATCAACATCTATGAGACTGTTTGCACCAAATGATAACAGTGGTGGAAGAACAATACAAATCCATTACATAGGCAAAAGTAGCAACACCACTCCTACTACACATTATAAAATACTCCATTACAAGGTAAAGTTGTATTTAAAATGTTAAATCTATATGAATATCATAACCTGGGCATTTTTCAGTATTTTCTGACATGTTTTCGACAAAACAAGTCATCAATTAGTCAATAAAATAATCAGCACATTAATCAATATTGAAAAGAATTGTCAATTGCATCCCTAATGGTGAATTTTTTCTGTTTTCACGGAAAACAACAGCTAGTAATTGTACAGCTTCACAGTTTGTGACGACGCTCTAATTTCTCACGGCCCTTCCTCTAATAGCTACTGGGTTGGACGGGCACATTATGCATCAAAAATTCCACTCTCAGAAATAGATTTAAAAGTAGTAACAGCTGGGCCAACAGCATCTTTTTCTAACAAGGTTTTTAGGGCACATTGATTTTGAGTGACAGCTCGATTCGGACCGTTTTGGGACATGAGCGCATGGCTCTGGCGAAGTTGAGGAACAGCCGGCAGCCACAGAAACAGAATTGAGCTCAGAGGAACTTTCCTAGAACTTTCCTTAAATAAGACAATTTCTTTCAACTTTCATTAATGCGAGTTCAGGGATTTGTTTTTCTTCCCAGTTAATAGTTTAGTGTAAAATCCTGTGTTGCCTGCACTAATGCAACTGTGTTGTCATTTGGCAATGGTGTTGCAAGCCCGGGTTGTCGGATGCTCAAACTGACCTACATGGGAAGATAATGCACTGCCTGTCTGCTTCTGAGATGGTTGTGGGTATTTTTCACTGTATCTGCTGAATTTGTTCCGACTCAGACCTTGCTAGCATCAGCAGCACACACACACACACACACACACACACACACACACACGCACACTCAGCAAGTCTCAGTTTATTTTTGACATGTTGAGATCCAGCTTTTAAGCTGGAATCAGATCATCGTGGCGGGCAGATGTTCCTCTCAGATGGTGGTTACTGTCTGTTTCGGTCAAAACAACCACTCTGAGGATGGGGGGAATGTTTACAGAGTAACACATCTGTGTACTGTACCCTGTCAAATTCAGGATATGGACGTCCGCATATTGAGTAAAACTGTGTCTAAAAGTGAAAAGTACGATGCAAACCAAATGTTGTGTCCAAGGATATCTAAACAAAGCTCGTTTGTTTACTTCAAGCATTTTTAGATGACTTACCCCGACCATGCACTTACTTTTCAATTTCAAACACATTTTCATTCTGTGATTTCTGTGGAAAAATCAGGTTGAGAAACAGCTGAGGACCATCAGAGGCCTTTTTACAATTTGGTAGTGGACTCATTCTTTCGTAGTCATTTCTTATTTCTTATTTGTTATTTTTGAGTGATCTCACTCACACAAACTGTTTATCTTCATAAAAGATTTATTCAAAACTAGCAATATTGATAAAATCAACAGTAACAGTATATGTAATTTTACTGCGTGATATCAAAATATATTAGGATTTTTACAGAAAATTCTAGATGCGAATGTTCTTTCATGACTTATACCTAATAAATACCTAACAAATCAGGTTACCTCATCACATTGATCGCCATATCATCATTACATTTTAGACATAATTTTTTGGTAAAAATTTATTTTATTCCCAATATTTAGAGTTTATAACCTGTATATAAACAATAATAAATGTTATAACATACTATAATACACAATAATGTAGTTGAACATTTTAGGTGTTAGTTAATATATTTGGAAAAACTGCAACTCTTCTTGTAAAGCATCTGTAAGTGATGTTTCGAGAGCTAATGAATGATTGACAACATAGTTGTATATCATATAAAATTAATGTGAAATATTCAGCATGTTTATTATATTAATTCATGATATTATATATCGAAAACGCCTTTTAATGAAGTCCCTTTTCAATACTATTTGTTTATTGTATTTATTTTATTCATAAAGTGAAACCTTGAGTTTTTTGTCAAACTACTAATGCCCAAGGTCAAGAATGAACCTCCAAACTCAGCATGTCTTCATAAGTTTTGAACACATTTATGCGCTAATAAGTTATAACTGTTAAATATAAATACATTAAAAAACACTTTAAATGTCCTTTGCATCCTTCCAGTGTGTTATAAACTAGTGTTAGTGTTTTATACTGCTTATTAACAATATATAGTGAAGTGTTACCAATTCTTTCCTATTTTAAATAAATAAGCCAAAGATGAGACTATCTTTTTCTAAATGTATCTATACTGTGTTACCTTATAAAATCAAACATTGCAGTCTAACAGTTCGTATTTACTATGTTTTTACTACTATATTTTTAAATGGTTATTAATGCTAGGGCTGGGCAATAGGACTTGGATCTTTATGATAATAATCATTAATCAAATGTACGTAAAACAACATCTAAAAATAATAAAACCTATTGTAATAAAAGAAACGGTGTCTCATTTTTATTCATGAAATTATAATATTATTGTGTTCATTTTTGGTAACATTTTACTTGGGATCCCCACTGAAATCAAATCAATGATAAAAAGGTAATGCCACTAAAGAATCTAACAAAAAAAAACAACCCTGGTGGCCATATAATATCTTAACACAACTTTACAGTTCTAGACAGCAGGGCCTGTCAGACGCTGGTGGCGGACAAAGTCACGCTAGGCACACATAGCGACAAATGAAAATGTCACACCAAAGTGAAACATGGCTTTAAGGCAGCAGCACTGTATTGTGTTCTACATGTGAGGTGAGCGCACATTTACCTTGCCCGACTTTCATGATGACTTTCATGGCTCGGCTCTTGCACACGCCTCCCTCCCGGTTCTCCAGGCCCTCGACTGTACCGTTGGAGGTCGCTGGAGGGGGAAGAAGGAGATGAGGAGAAAGAGGAAGAGGTGAAGGACAAGAGGAGAGAAAGTGATGGAGGGTAAAGAAAAGAAAAGCAGGAGATAGAGGAGGAGAGAAGATGACACACTGGTTAATGAGCACGTCCATAACGCACAGAACTAATCAATATTTACGACAAGCACTGATTAGCTGTTCCAGTGATTAGCCGTTCTCACCCTCAATCAACCGGCAGCACCTCTCAACGGTATTTCTCATTAACACAATAAAGTGAAGTCAAATGAATGGAACAACATTAGAGCCTACTGAGGGAGGGTGGGTGCTGAGGTATAGAAGAGGAACATGGTCAGACCTGTGTGTGTGTGTGTGTGTGTGTGTGTGTGTGTGTGTGTGTGTGTGTGTGTGTGTGTGTGTGTGTGTGTGTGTTTTCTGTCTGTACATAGTTTAGCAGTGAGACATGCCAGCGAGAGTTCCAGCTGCTTGCCAACTCCTCGAGCAGCTTACTCCCTCTGAGCCACATGTGTCATTACTTGCTGGTAGTGCTGAGAGCTAAATGCCTCCCTTAATGTTTGTGCGTGCATGTGTGTGTGTGTGTCCATTTATATATTGGAGCGTGTGTGTGTGTGTGTGTGTGTGTGTGTGTGTGTGTGTGTGTGTGTGTGTGTGTGTGTGTCAGGCTCTCTCCATTTGTTTTCAAGTGTGCGTTCTGCTCTGACTTGAGCGAGGAGCTCAGGGTCGAGGGTTGTTTATTCAATGTCACATTCACTTCAGACACTGTGACACAATTGGCTGTCTATTTTAGGGCCCATGATAATGACCTAGGGAGACAGAGTGTGACTCTGACCTTAACACTGAGCGGCTAAGCACAAGGCAGTGTGTGTGTGTGTGTGTGTGTGTGTGTGTGTGTGTGTGTGCGTGTGTGTGTGCATGTGTGTGTGCGTGTGTGCGCCTGTGTGGGCGCATACGATGGCGGCTCTAATTTTGGAATTCCCCAAATGATCTGCATCTCCGCTTAGTCTGCTGTTTCAACTTACTCCCTTCCTCTGAAATGCTTTTGTGTTTCTTCCTGCATTATCCGTCTTGGTCTCTCTCTCTTGCTCTCTCTTGCTCCCTCTCTCTCTCCCCTGTTCTGTTTTTTCGTTCACTTCATTTAGTTTTTTATCTGGGTATCTGACTCTACCCCTCCCTTTCCCTCCCTCTTAACTCAATGACCATCTCCCTGGGTGATTGCTTCAGATGGCACCCTCATTATGATGAGATAGTCTTGGAGAGGGTGCTTATCTAATGATGACACAAAGAGAGGCAGACTCAGCTACAGATGGGGGTGGGGGAGTTGGGTGGGTCTAAACAATGCACAACAAATATCAAAATACTTACCCACTCTGGCATGATGCATCAATGTTTCTACATGCGTGTCCCTGCTATAAACTGATGTTATATCAAACAGTGTGGAAATCTGGCTCTGCAGTTATGGAAAAGCTCCTCTAGTTGATTCATGCCTTGTCATTCCTAAGTATTATTAATGTTGACATTTTGTTGCCCTGTGGGATTTCAGCTTTGTACACGGGCGAAATTGAAGAAAACTAAATAATGAGTTGCACTAATATTATGTTACATTATCAGATCATACTCAGGCTCTAAATTACAAGGAGAACCACAACATTTTGTTAGTGTGGCCGGAGTACGTGATAATTTGTGAGAATGATTGTGATAACATTGTGTCAGGAGCTCTTTGGCAAAATCCCCCCGCGCTGTAGACTCAACAGGACTGACTGAACCGGACACTGAAATATATACGAGGGGCCAGCAGAGCCGAGTGCAGCGCAGGAACAAAAAGATTTTAAATTTACGTGGGACATTAATGTGAATGAACACTCAAGGCTAAGTGAGTCTTATGATTTATGTAAAGTCTATGCAGGGAGCATGTCTCTTCTAAAGGGAACATTCAAAGACAGTGAGGTGAACAGGCCTGTTTCCGGTCTTAAAGGCACAACGTCTCGCAGCCCTGAATGGTCCAGACGCTGCCACGAGTGCTAACCTCATCCTGCTATTTTTCCGGGCAATTTCTCCTCTTCTTTCAATTTTTAATTTCCAGGGCAAGGTTATACAAAAATGAGCTCTTTGAAGATCGAACTCAAAGGCTCTTGAATAATCTGACTAAGAGTGAGCGTCATGCTATGAATTTTATATCCACTCAGGGAGAGCAAATCTTCTCAGTGTTAACTTACTTCTGTCATCTAAATTAACTATTCCTTCAGGCTGGCTGAACGGGCTCCTGCATTACTGATGTGGCATGATGATAAGTTGGCCCTTTGAGGCTTCTGTTTAGACGAACAACTGAAAGAGAGCTGGATTTATAAAGAGATGATCGCTTTATATGTTGTTTGTATTCAGGCCATTTAAAAAGTCAAATAATTCACCGCCTTTACTGTACCGTTGGAAATTCATAATCGGATTAACCATGTCCAATTTTAACCACATTTCCTTATGTGAATCCATCTTTTAAGTACTATTCAAGATGGAAATCTACTACAGAAACAACTGTTGAGTGCATTCAAAAATGTGTGGTGAAGCTTTAAAAACTTGCACACTGCTAAGCACCACTCACTCCTGTGTTTGTCATTTTAACCCCGGTCTGATATCAGTGTATTTACATCTGTCATGTCATGGGTTCACTCAAAAGAAGATGATTGCCAGCCATGTATCTTAAACTCCCTAACCCTACTCCACAACAAGGACACATTGGCAGCTTTTTTTTTTTTTAATCTGAAAGCCTCTCCTCTTCTCCTCCCTCTCTAACGCGCTCTCTCGTTTCATCCCTGCATACTGACGTTAATCCAAATCTGGATTTCCAGATATTAAAAGGCCGGCGGTCATGGCGTGTTTTGGAAAGAGGAAACTGGGGAATTGGGTCTTCCTGTGTGTCTCGACGGAGATAAAAACACAAGGGGATAAAGCAACGACAGGGCAAAGAACAAAGAAAGCCCCATTCTGCTGCTAATGATTTAGTGGAACAAACCGGTTCAACACTAGCGGTCCAGAATACCCAAAGAACTGGTCATTGCATGAAGGAATGTTGCTTTTTTTAATAAAGCGGTCGGCTCCAAAGCTGGATTTTTTTGTATGATTTAAGGCCCTCTTTGTGGGTGTGGATCATTGGCCGCAGAGTGACTAGTGAGAGAACAAAAGATCTACAGCTGCTGAAGTCATAAGAGAAACCAGGTGCCAAATGTTGATGTTGGGAAATATCTACAGTACAAATGTATCAGCCAAGAGAAAGCCTTACAGGGGAAAGAGCTGGCCTGTACTAAAGGCTCCTGTTCCAATACTCCACACATACCACTACTGCTAGCACATTAACATACATGTGTAAATTCACACACTTACATATACACAAATGCACACTGATTTCACAAGGACATTGAGGGTAGAGTGGAAGGACTGCTCCCCTAGGTGTTCCGAGGAGAAGAGGGGGAGATGTGTGAGAGATGCAGTGCTGACTGGTCGAGACGACACAAGCTTAGGCTAGAGTGCGATGCGGTGGTCTATATTTATTCTCAGGTCTGCTAAATGAGGTCACTCAGGTGGTCCTGCTGAATACATTCCCCATCTCCATCATGAATCATCTGCTGCTTATTATTCCTGTCCAGCCCAGGGGGGGCTTGCTTTCATACAGCGCAATGGGCTGTGTGTATGTGTGCGTGCATGCTTTCCTGTGTCTATTACGTGCATGCGCAAGCTCTCGCGCGCGACATCTGCCCAAAGCACCGAACGAGGGGATAGATACAGCCCATGTGACAGACAGAGAGCAGGTTGTTTAATGAGAAAGTGGATGAGAGGTGACATTCATTGGCTACCTTTCACACACCGCCCCCCCATTCTCCACAGCATTCAGACTTCCACTTAGATGAGCCGAGCAGCCACCGGGTAGTCACAGTAACCACCAGCAATAATGTCTACATTTTCAAAAAAAGAAGGGGAAAAAAAGCTAAATACATAAACAGGCACAACCACGATCTGATCAATCACACTTAGCATCAAGGAAAAACAGCAGCACTCTGAGCCGTTTCATCCATTTGAGGCAAAACAGGAAGCTAAACACTGCCAGTGTCAGGTATGTGTGTCTGTATCAAACCATGCATCACAACAGAAATGGCTATTTCTCATACCTGCGATATTCCTATCTCAGTTTTTGTTTACATTAGCAAACCAGAGTCGAAGTGGGGAGAAGGAAGAGAGAGCCTATTTGCACAAAATATTTCACTCCTGAATGAGCACAGAGAGGGTTAGATTAGGTTTATGGGCCTGATTCCAGAGATAACCCTCCCTAGCAGATCTGGCATGCATGCAAGCACACACGTGCACACACCCACATAAACATACAGAGTGAGGTTGGCAGACTGGAATAATACTTGGGGATCTAGATGTTTGCACTTTGAACCTTTTCTAATCCTGAGTATTAGGGCATGGCTAAAGCCTGATTATGGTAGAATGAAATGGATCTAAATAGATGTCCCAGCCCATCAGCCATTCATTTCTTTGTCCTAGAAATAGAAATGGAAATCAGTAATCAACCTCCAACCTCTTGCCCGCCGTCTCTCCCACATAGCCTCCTGCGCAGGTTTGGCCTCGGCAAAGAAAATTCATTCAGACTTTTCATATCATCGCAGATGAATTAGGCGCGCTCCGCTCGGCCAATGTTTTCTTCTCATGTTTCTTCTCAATAATAAAACCTGGCAGACAATATAAAATAGTCATATCTTTGACGCTGGCGCTGCACATCCTTCATGCTATTTTGAAAATCCAATATTGAATTTAGATCGGAATAAATGTGGTTTTAACTAATGTGCATGGACACAGCTGATTTTCTCATCTTCATGTTCAGCAAAGCCTTTTTCCATTTAGTTTTTGCAAAGCTTCACTATGTAGCAGCTCTAATATTACTGCGTGCTGCCTACTCCCAGGAGCCGCTTTGCTGCATGTACGGTAAGCAGGTAGCAGCATTAGTGTC